GGGGGGTGTTTTGTATATGTGTGTGTGTGTATGTTTTGTATATGTGTGTGTGAGTGTGTGTGTGATGTGTGTTGTGGTTGTGGTTTGTTTATTGTTGTGGGTTTGTTTGTTTTTGGGGGGTTGTTTTTTAGGGGGGTGCTTGTATTGCTGTGGGTGTGTCTGTGGGCGTGAATGCATTACGTATGCATTGAGATATGAATTGTGCAGGCAAGAACATTTGTGTGTTCGCTTACGTGCGCATGTGCATTTTCATAAAAATATCTAGAAGGTGAGAAAAAGGGTGTGAGTGGAGAGAATGTTTCTACGAAAGACAAGAACAGCAATCGATTGTGCAGTCTGTAACTGTAACTTCTGTCAATCCGCTCCGTGTCAAACATGACGTACGCTGGCAAAAAAAAGAAACCACCAGCACTGTCGGAACGTGATGAACAAGACTGTAAAGTTCCTGCACGTGATAATGTCACGCTTTCATAGTTTTTGGGGATAAATTTAATTGTGTTTGATCCCCGAAAATGTGCATGGCTTTTTGGCTGAAATAACAGTATAATAATTATTATTCAAAACGAGTTTTATACATTGTAGAAAGGGGGGGGAATCCTTAAACGGACATGTCGACAAGATGTTCTTGATATCGAAAACGAATTTTGGGGCAGAACGGTTATCTAAAGATGTGTGCTTGCATGTTGAGAAAAAAGTAATGTTGTTCTCTTAGGCCTCGGCATTCATTTTATTCCGGCTTGATTTGTTGAAGTTTGTTTTTGTTTTGTTTGTTTGCTTGGTTTGGTTTGTTTGTTTGTTTTCTGTTAGTTTGTTTTGTTGGGTTTGTTGGGTTTTGTTTTTTTTTGCTTTTGTTTCTGTTTGTTTGTTTGTTTATTTGTTTTTTGTTTGGTTTTATTCGTTGCTATGTGTCTGCTTTATCTTCGGACATAATATCTCTGATCTTTCTTATCTAATGTCTATGAAGTTTCTTTCTCAGATCTCTTCTGTTATTTTATCGACATGACTTTGTAGCACAATTCTTTTTAGTTTCATTATTATGGCGATGACGTTGAGAAGAATTTTCATTTTTGCAATTCTTTATATCACGACACACAGACAGTTCATTTAGAAGTTCGCCTAAAACTGTAATGCTAGACATTTTGCGCCCGAAGTGACACTATTTAGGTCATTTAGGGGGCGGGCCGCTTTGACCTTGGCTGTACGGGCCAACCCAGGCTGAGAGGGAAACAAAGTCCCAGAAGAAAGACAGAAATGCTCGATTAAAAATTCTACCCACAACGGAATCGAACCCGTGTCTCCTGTGTGCGGCGAAGGGTTTAACTCTTTGAGGACGTGTCTTTGACAATGCTTACAGACGAGACGTTTTTAGGGCCTTTTCAGAACCGTCATTCATTCAAATTCTTCACCCTGTTTCCATTATTTGAAACTTTAAAAGATCAGCTATAACACACTTTTTTATGAGCGAAGCAAATCTGCGTTTTAGATTTGTTTATGGTGGTTGGAAATGTCCCGCAACATTGAGTTTCATCTGCTGCTGGTCGGCCAGATGTGTCACTTTTTTTTAAGTAAGTATTTTACGGCGCTCGCAACTGCATAACATCATATGAGTGGACACACTAAACATTTTCAGTTGCTAGGAAATTTGAAATTTGCCCGGGTGGTGGCCGAAGCCTACTCTTATCGATTTTGGACAACCAAGGGATCATTAACGTGCATAACTTGCACACGGGACCTCCGAGATTTTTCACCCTTGTTCCGGAAGGCTATGGGGTAGATCTTTCCTTCCAGAAGATCAGGGGTGTGGCTGAAAGACAGCAGTAAGAAGGAGCCAAGGAGAAGCAGTAGAAAGGTTACAGAAAGAGTCAGGAGCCCAAAGGAGGGGGCAAATGAGATGAGGGGGGTGGGCAAAAAGTGGAGACGAAATCAGACGACAGAGCAGTGTTTGAGAGCAGGAAAGGAGGTGAAAGGAGACTATTTTAGGGAAGAAAATTGTTTTCGATCGCTACCCGAATTCGAACCCGGGACCTTTGAATGAGAGGCGAACACCTTGACCACTAGGCGACGAGAGCCCCGTTGCGACGTCCTTGTAGAGTTAATTACAACACCACGGACGTTCATTTGGAATTCAAAGCACCTCTTCTAGAGGTCAGTAGAGAGACGGAGAGAGGAGAGGGAAGGAAATAGGGACGGAACCATTGTATTATAGAAGCATTCCCTCTCCAAATCGTGGTTCACATTTCGCGAACTCGGTCCATCGAGATTGTTTTAAGTTAAATTACCCCAGGCAGAACACCGGCACTTTTTAATTTGACCACACTTTTAGGACTTGCATATCGTTATATCTTATTCTTCGAATTGTTACATCTTTTATTTGAAACTTTAAAAGATCAGCAATAACACACTTATTTTAATGAGTGCTATTTTAATATTTGCTTAGCAAATATGATTTTTAGATTCGTTTACGGTGGTTGGAAATGTCCCCGCAACATTGAGTTTGATCTGCTGCTGGTCGGAGAGATGTGTCCACTACGTACTTTTCTTTTCGGTAAGTGTTTGAATGAGAGGCGAACACCTTGACCTCTAGGCGATGAGAGTCCCGTTGCGACGTCCTTGTAGAGTTAATTACAACACCACGGACGCTCATTTGGAATTCAGGGCAGCAAGTCTAGAGGTCAGTAGAGAGACGGAGAGAGGAGAGGGAAGGGAATAGGGACGGAACCATTGTATTATAGTAGCATTCCCTCTCCAAATCCTGGTTCACATTTCGCGAACTTGGTCCATCGAGGTTTGTATGTTTTGTTTGTTTGTTTGTTTGTTTGTTTGTTTTTGTTTTTGTTATTTCTTGTTTTTGTTTGTTTTGTTTGTTTGTTTGCTTGTGTTTGTTTGTTTGTTTGTTTGTTTTGGTTTTGGTTTTTTGTTGTTGTTGTTGGGTTGTTTGTTTGTTTGTTGTTGTTTGTTTTTTGTTGGGTTTTTTTTTGGGGGGGGGGCTGTCCTAGCAGAACATAGGCACTTTTTAATCTGACCACGCTTTTATATCTTGCATTGTATCGTTATATTATTCTCCTCCTTGTTAATCCAGTTTTTAAATACATGTCAATAGTTTGGGAGAAGTTGTGCTATAAAATATATGAATGTTGTATTTTCTAACACCCCCCCCCCCCCACACACACACACACACACACCTAAAATAAAATCGCTGGCCTCTTATACTGCAAGTGTGAAAGGTGTTTATAAGAGCCCGTGAGAGGTTTATAAGAGAGCGGGGAGGGTTTATAAAAGCGTAAAATAGGTCATTAATATCCTTATCGTTTCTTCTTCGCAGAATTTTCCGTATGGTAGGAGGTTCTGGAGTGCACACCAAGCAATATTAGAGGGAATAATGTAGTCTAAAACCTAGGTGTGACACGTTAGAATAATATCATATATTATTATGTCCAGGGGCGTGTAATTTTTCTTTTAAAGTGTTTTACCACCCACTGATAGCCAACAGCGGGACTCTTATACCACCATAACCCAGCTTTTCTTCCTCCTCCTCGATCCTTCTTCTCCTTCTCTCTCACTCTCTCTCGCTCGCTCTCTCTCTCTCTCTCTCTCTCTCTCTCTCTCTCTCTCTTTCTCACTCTCTCCATCTCTCGCTCTCTCGCTCTTTCGCTCTTTCGCTCTCTCTCTCTCTCTCTCTCTCTCTCTCTCTTTCTCACTCTCTCCATCTCTCGCTCTCTCGCTCTTTCGCTCTTTCGCTCTCTCTCTCTCTCTCTCTCTCTCTCTCTCTCTCTCTCTCTCTCTCTCTCTCTCTCTCTCTCTCTCTCTTTCGCTCGCTCTCTCTCTCTCTCTTTCTCTCTCTCTCTCTTTCTCTCTCTTTCTCTTTCTCTCTCTCTCTCTCTCTCTCTCTCTCTCTCTCTCTTTCTCTCTCTCTCTTTCTCTCTCTCTCTTTCTCTCTCTCTTTTTTCTCCTTTTCCTTTTCCAAACGCTGAGGGGGGGAAAGGCGGGGATGATGGAGATTAGGAGGGGGGAGGGCGGAGACGGCGAAGTGACTGTCTATAGTTATATTTTAGAGTTCCAATTTCTCAACATAAACACGTGCGTGTGTGTGTGGTGTGTATGTGAGTGTGTGTCTGTGTGTGTGTGTGTGTGTGTGTGTGTGTGTGTGTGTGTGTGTGTGTGTGTCTGTGTGTGCGTGTGTGTGCGTGTGTGTGTGAGTGTGTATGTGTGTGAAAAGAAAAAAAAAGATATGAAAGAAGTCAGTTACCATCTAGTATAAGGCTACTGTCAGAATAAACCTCAATGTGTATTGCTTTTTGGAATATGTATCTCAAAAGTCTAAAAGGTCTTGTAATTAAATTCCTGCACGTTGTTCAATGATGCATCTGATGTGAATATGTACATTTTGTCAGCGTTACTTTTTTGTTCATGTTCAATTTTATTAAGAGTAATACATAATTTAATTATTATGTATACCTGCATGTGTTTTTACGGTCCTGTACTGCCAAGAAAAAAATCCCTCTGGGACAATAAAGTATTATCTTATCTTACCTATTTTAGCTAAAACAAAAGTGCCACTGTGAAATACTGTACCTGAGATTTGAGAGTGAGCTGTTTCTGACGGTTGATAAACGTTTACATTACAAAAGCCAAAGTATCACTGTGAAATACTGTACCTGAGATTTGAGAGGGAGCTGTTTCTGACGTGTACCGGAATTTCTGGCGCCTGTAGCTGGCTGTAGCCGTGAGCGCTGAGCCATCGGTTGATGAGGGTGAGGTCCGCGCGTTTGAGGAAGTACTCACTCATGTCGTCAGGGTGAGCGTCCAGCCATTCCTCCACGCTACAGCTCGTGTGTCCCTCCATGGTGGCTGCAGAAGACAGATGAGAAGGGTTGGGGTTTTTTATTATTATTATTATTGAGAGTGAAAGAGAGATAGACAGAGACAGAGACAGAGACAGAGAGAGAGAGAGACAGAGAGAGACAAAGAGAGAGAGAGTGTGTGTGTGTGTGTGTGTGTTTCAAAATTTTAAAATACTTTTTTTTATATTTTAATTAAAAAAAGAGAAAGAATTGAGCGAGAGAGAGAGAGCGAGAGAGGGAGAGAGAAAACAGAGAGAGAGGGGAAAGAGAGAGGGGGGGAGAGAGAGAAACAGAGAGAAACAGAGAGAGAGAGAGAATTTTTTTTAATTAAAAAACTAAAATTATTGACATAAAAAAGAGAGAGCGAGAGAGAGCGCGCGAGAGAGCGAGGGAGAGATAGAGAGAGAGCGAGAGAGAGAGCGAGAGAGAGCGCGAGTGAGAGAGAGAAAGCGAGTGAGAGAGAGACACACACAGAGAGAATGGGAGAGAAAGAGAGAGAGAGAGAGAGAGAGAGAGAGAGAGAGAGAGAGAGAGACATTCCTCCACGCTGTAGCTCGTGTGTCCCTCCATGGTGGCTACAGAAGACAGATGAGATGGGGG